CCCGGCTTCCTGCCAAGTGCGAGGGGAGAGCGGTGACTTCATGCTGTACTGAAGTTCTGTCCTGTGATGGATGCCTGACAGCTGGGGCCCGTGGGCGGGGGCAGGGACCCCAGGAGGGGCCAGCACCTGCCAGCCAGAGAGGCCTGAGGGCCTGCCCAGGGCCACGGTGCTAGGCGGGCCCCAGCTGCAGCTCCTTCCCCAGGGCTCCTGGAGCCTCCGCGGGCCAGGAGGCGATGGCTGCCCTTCCAAGGCAGAGGCGGTGGGCTGGGAGCACGGTGCCACCAAGGTCCCGGGCACGGAGCCCTGGCCGTGCCACTGGCGTCGTGCATGGCAGCGTCGCTGGCCAGTGGGGGCCGTGCTGGGCAAGCCGGGGGAGGCTGCCGCCCTGGGGTTGCCCTGCGCTCAGGGCCTCCCTGCCCCATGTGGACGGGTTGGCTGAGAGGAATCCCTAAAAGTCCCCCTCCAGGGGGAGGCCCCGGTGACAGAGGAGACCTCCCGGGAACGGCCTTTCCAGGCCGCTGGCTCCTGCCTCCGACCCCCAGTGTCTAGCACGAGCCTCAGCTCTCGGGCCAGGCCTGGCTCCCTGCCAAGCCCTGTAGGAGGAAGGGGGGGTGTGAACCTGGGTGCCCACTCACAGCTGGAGGGTCCCCAGGGCACCTTTAACAACTCCTGGGTCTGCGGGTGCTGCTCCCAGGCCGCACCTGCCTTGGGGCTCCCCCAGAGGCCACGTGCGCTGCTCCCCACCCCAGTGCCCGGCCGGGGCAGACCCCCAACTCCGGGTCTCCCACCGAGAAGGCACGTGTGCGCATGCGTGCACGGGCACATCCAGCCATGTGAGTTCAGGGACCAAGACCCACGGACAAAGGGGCGTGCACACACCCTGCCCATCAGCGCTCCCCACCCACGAGGGTCCGCACATGCCCTGGCGGACCTGCCCAGCGCAGAGGCCTGGCTCGCGTAGAGGACAGCAGAGAGGTGCTGTGTCCCCAAGGGTGCAGCACCTGGGCACCGGCTGCCATTCCCTGATCCTGGGGGTGGGGAGGGGAGGCTGGGGGAGAAACCTCAGGGGAAACGCTCCCAGGAGGGGGCCTTTGTCACCAGGACACTGACGCACTGACAGGCTGAGACTCCTGCGTGGCCAGGGGACAGGCCAGTGCACTCAGAGGCCGCGCAGACCTGGACACGAGGAGACAGCCGGCACCCACGGACCCACCCAGACGGAGGCAGAGCTCCGGGTGGGTCCCCGCCGCGACGGCCCCTTCTCACTCACCTCTGCCCTTCTGCGTGGCTGCTGCAGGCACCCCGACCAGAGGCAGACCCCTGCGTCCCCACCAGTCCCCAGATCAGGAAGCATGGCGCCCGTGAACCTTTCCCACGCGGCCCGGCCACTTCCTGTCTCCTGCAGGCACTGCTCCCTAATATGGGCCTGGAGGGCCGGCCAGGACCTCCCAGGCGTGTACCCTGGCAGGACACCAGATGCCAGATGGATGTGTGTGCTCTCTGCCGTCAGGGTCCGGAGGGTCCCATGCTGGCTCCAGGGGTCAGGGGTGGGGGGCAGGGATGCTGGGAACTGAGTTTGGGAAAAGGCCTGGCCGGGTTTTCTGACGGGAAGGCACTGGGCAGGAGGCAGCGTGGCGGGCCCCGGGGCGGCCGAGACCTTCCCGGGGACTCCCCGCAACAGCTGTCACCGCCAGGACAGAGGCATCTGGACCTGGGGAAGGAGCACAGCAACAAGGGCCGGGCCCAATGACTGTGGGGGTGGCGGAGGCCTGGCCTGGAGCCCCACGTGACAATGGGAAGGCACGAGGTCCAGACAGGGGCCAGGCACCGGGGCAAAGACTCCCAGGATTCCCACTGCCTGGCCTCACAGCCCCCCGGGGCGGGCAAGCTGGCACTCAGAGTGAGGTGGCGGACCCCCTTGGCTGGAACAGCGGCACATCCACCACCTTCGAGGACACAGGCCGCCCAAGGTCCAGGGAGGGAGCAGCGCCAGACCGCTGGATCCCAAGGTGGACCCTGCCGTGAAGCCTGCTGCTGGGGCTGCCCCGAAGAACTAACCCCCACCTGGACCCACGCTTGACCAAGAAGGGTCTTCCTTCTCCAGCTGAAACTACGTTCCCTGAGCCACCTGACCTGTCCTGGGGTGGGGGATCCCCCCCAGCCTGCCCCGCCCTGGGTGGGGGATCCGTGCCCAGCCTGCCTGCCATCCCCTCCCGACGAACCTGCAGCCTGGCAGGGGGCGATCAGGGACACAGGCCAGCTCCCATGCAGGGGGAGGGGTGTGCCCAGTGGTGCCGGGGGAGATGGAGGTGTGTGTTTGGGGGGGGCGGTTGAGCCCACCAGGCGCAGACCCTGAGGACACAGCTTGCATCTCACCTGGACCAGGCAGTCAAGCCAGGCAGGTGAACTTGGAGATGGGTCACCAGGAAAGGCGACACCTGGCAGAGGAGGGCGATGGGCAGAGGGGCAGGCAGGCTACAAAGACGGCAGAGAGCGCAGGAGCGCCCCCGGGCCCGCGCTGTGCCTGAGTGAGTTGGCCCAGCTGCCCCTCGGAGCGGCCAGTGGAGGTCCAGGCCACACCCACCTCACAGGGGTCATTAGCTCTGCTTCCCACGGACACCCCAGGGACGGCCAGCGCTCAGGGCACATGCTCCTCCCCCCGGCCGTACCCCCAGGGCCCCGACAGGGGCCAGGCCAGTGCTGTCCTGTGGAGGGACCGCCCTGACCCTTGACATGGGGCTGGAAACTCCCCTGCCTGCGGCTGGCCCCCCACCAGAAACGACCCTCAGAGACCACCTGCCCACCACCCCTCACTTTACACACGGGAGGCTGAGTGTGACAGAAGGAACGGTTGGGGGCAGCACCCGGCCTCGGGCCCAGGCTGCCTGCTTTTCAGGTCCCCTTGTGCACCCTCTCTGGCTTCAGAACCGCCCAACGGTGCAGGACCCAGAGGACAGGGCTCCGCCTCGCTGGGGACAGTGGCACAGGGCAGGCGCAGGCTATGGGTCACCTGGGGTCTGACTCCTGGCATGGGGTGAGGGGCAGATGTAGCCTCTGGGGCTGGCGGGACAGGGAGAGAGGCAGCCCCCGCCCGGACCGAGCCGAGTGCCGTGCCACCTGGGCCTGTCGCCTGGGTGAGCAGAATCCCTGTGACACCCCAGGACCTGGCACAGAGAAGGGTGACCTGGCTGTTTCCCAGGCCACCTGGAACCCCCTGTCAGTTGACCCTCTCCTCACACCGACGGGCAAATGGAGACCCGGGAAAGGGAAGCCGCGTATGAAATCAGTGGCCGGGGAGCAGGGCCCCTGCCCTGCCCTGCCCTCCCCGAGAGCACACGCACACCCCAATCACGGCTCTCCCTGGGGGGAAAGGCCCTCGAAAACCCACTTCTATGTGGGGTTCCCTTGCCCCGTGCCCTCAGGGCACAGTTCTGCCATCCCCACGCTGCAGCACCCCAGGTGCCCCTCCCAGGTTCTGCCCGAAGGGGCGGGGAGGCCCGCGGGCGCAGAACCGGTCGGTCGCGCTGGGCCGCACCTGCCCGCACCCGGGAGACGCTCAGCCCCGCATGCAAACATGGCCGCGTTCCGGCCACCTTCCCGTTATGGACGCAGACAGACGGACGCCGCCGGGGCACCTGCTGGTCAGGGATGTGAGCGCGCCGGACGGTCCGCAGGGGCGCCCGTTCCCCAGGGTGGTCAGGGAGGGCGCTCGTGGGTCCTGGCCCTGGAAGTGCCGATCTTGGGGATGAAGGGTCCTGGGGATGGGAGGGCTCTGGGGGTTGGCGCTAGCCCGGACCCGGGTCCCTCCGCGCGGGGAAGATCGCAGCCGACTGTACCTGGGGGCGCATCGGCCGTCATCGAACACGAAGGTCCGGTTGGTGTGGCCCCCGCCGCGCGCCCCCGCCCGCGCCCCCCTGTGGACACCCCCCGGGCTGCGCGCGCTGTCCGGGAGCGGCATGAGGGCCGGCGGCGGCTCGGACCCGGAGCCGAGGGAGAAGCGAGTCGGGAGCGACAGACGACTTCTTCGCTCGCTTGGCCCCGAAAGACACTTTTTTCTCTGGATTAAGTGGTGGGGGAGAGCGAGTTCCGGGGTCGGGGTTGAGGCGCCTGGCCGGGCGCGCCCCCTGCCGGTCGCGCCGGGAATCGCGGCGGCGTCGGGCCGGGCCGGGATGGGGCGGAGAGCGGTAGGCCTCCGCACCGCGTCCCGAACTAGCCTTTGTGTCCCATAGACGTTGACGAAACAGTCCTTAGACCAGCCTCCCCACTCCCCTCCACATCTTCTCAACCTGATCCCCATTCCCACCTGCCCCACAAGGTTCTGGGAACCGTCAACTTATTCTCCCGAGGTAAGACTAATTCCTTTCCCCAAAGACCTCCTACCTGCCCACCTCTGGGTCCCTGGACACCAGGCCCATGTGCCAGCCAGGGGCCGACCTGGGCTCCCAGTGGGCTCCAGCTTGGCATGCTGCCCAGCTCTGCCCTGAAAGTAACCATTTCACCCTGAGGACGTCCCCTTCCTGCCCCCTCCCACCCCATCCCTCGACGGGCGAGGAATTCCGTGAGGGCAGGGCTCACGCCTCCAAGTAGCCAGCACCCCTCTCCGGCCTGTCACCGAGGGCACCTATGGGCGGGGAGGGGAGGGGAGACCACGCCCGAGCGGGAACTGGGCTGACCACCCGGGAAGTGGGGCAGGAGGACAGCCCAGGCTGGGCCCCCTGCCCCGGGGCAGCGCTGGGGGCTCGGGGTCGGGCGGGACTCAGGCGCCACTCTCCTGCAACTTCTCCATGGGAAGCACTTTGCTTCCCGCGGGCTGCACCGGCCAAGGGTGGAGCGCTGTGAGCGGCGGCCCCACGTGGGCAGCTGGCCAGGTGCAGGCTGAGTGGGAAGCACGTGGGGGCGGGCAGCGCACACGTGAGTGGGCGGGGCGGGCAGGATGCGCAGGCGTGGGACGCGCGCAGCGGGGTCCCAGACTTAGTTGCCGCCTCCGCAGCTGAGTGCTCATGGCGTCGCAAGGTCCCCAGCCCAATGCTGGGATTCCGAAAGTCCCCATCTCCAGGGGATGCGGGTGAGGAATTGGGGGTTGGGGGTCCCGGAAGCGGTGAGGTGGAAGGCCTGCCCAGGGGCGCTCGCGGTTTCCCACCCCACTGCAACACGCTCCGCCCAATTCAAAACGTTCCAGTCCGGCGCTCCCACCCAGCATGGCTACCTGGGGCAGAGTCCCCCGCTGACCCCAGGGCGGGGTGGGGAAGGTGGGAAGGGGGAGGAGGGGCTCAAACCATGTCCCTGGGCCCCCCGGGCCCTGCCCTGCACCTGCCCCCGCCCCCAGCCGCCCTCCAGACACCTGCTACCGCAGTCTGGGCTTTGATGTTCTCCCGGGTTCATGGAGCCTGGTGCCGTTCCCTTTTCTCAGCAGCAGCTCATCCCCGACTGGCGCCCAGTTCCAGGGCAAGGACCCTATGGGGGACTCGGGCCCAGTCAAGACCCCAGCAGTGGCGGAGGGTCCCGCCTCCTGCCTCCCTCGGAATGTGCTCAGCGAGAGGGAGCGCAGGTGGGTGCTGGTGGGAGGATGGGCGGACAGGTTTCTGAAAGAGTGGGGCGGCGGTGGGGGGCAGAGGAGGTCAGATGTGTGGGTGCAACCAAACTTCAGGCAGCTTGGACAGGCTTGTGGCATCTGTTCAGTAAGGGGCCGATTGGCCCGACCCCGAGGTAGATAAGAAGGCCCCCACGGGATGGGCGGGGGAGGCATCACTGCAGCCCCCTGAACCTGCAGCCCTGGGGATCTTGAGGTGGTGCATTTGGGTCCCCTGGAGCCCGGACTCTGCTGGCGCCACGTCCTCGCCACGCTCCCAAGCAGCGGTGGTCCAGGCCTGGGCTGGCCGTGGCAGGGGGCCGTGCCCTGACCCGGGTCTCTGAGGCACTCAGACCCCTTGGAGAGCTAACCGTGGCCTGGGCCTGTGGTCTCTCTGCCGCGGCAGCCCCCGGGGCTGCTCTGACGGGGCTCTGGCGGCTGCAGTCCTTTCTCCTGGCCCAGGCCGGGCAGGCTCACGGACGTTTGCCACTTGTCGGGAAGCAGGAGGCGGATCTCAGTGAGCTGCGAGCGCCTGCGGGCCCTTCTGCCGCAGTTCGAGGGCCGGCGGGAGGACATGGCGTCGGTCCTGGAGATGTCCGTGCAGTTCCTCCGGTTCGCGGGCTCCGCGGCGGCCAGTGGGGAGCAGCAGGCTGTGAGTGTGTGCGGCTGCGTCCTGCCGGGCGCCTCTGCGTCGGCGCGGGTTCCGAGCCATCGCACCTCCTGTGGCGGTGGCACCGGGGCCCCAAGTCCCGCTGCTGCCGTGAGGCCCAGGGCGGGCGTGGCCTTCACTCGCCCGGCCCCCAATCCTGAGGACCAGGCTCTCTCAGGGCGGACCCCCGGGGCCCCGGGCCGGGCGGCCGGGGATGCACCACAGCCCCCTTTCCTGAGGGGTCCCCGGTGATATGACCGGGTCCGAGCGTTGTGTCATTTCAGTTTCAGGCGCTCGGCTCCCCCGCGGAGGCGGTGTGGCACACGTGGCAGGAGGACGCCTTGCAGCTGGCCCTGGCGAGTCAGGCCCTCGCAGGCGCACCGGACCCTGGGACGGGAGCACCCGCGGCCATGTCCGTGCCCCCCGCGGGCGGGCTCCGTGGGGGCTGCTGGTGCAAACTGCTCAAGCCTGCCTTTGTCTTTGTACCACCCAGGCAACAGGCCCCGCTGAGCTGTGTGACCGCAGGCATGGACCGGGGCAAGGCCCCCACGGTGGGGGCCGAGGTGCTGAACAGGCCGGCGGCCTTCCCTGGTAAGCGTGGCTGGGTACGCGTGTGGCCCCAGGTGCCCCAGGAAGTGGGGGGACTTAGAGGGGTTTGCTCTGCCCTCCTCGCCCCATGGCCGCCGCTGTGTCCAGCTCCCCGAGAGCAGCCCCCACGCTCCAGGGGCGCTCTCTGCCTGTTCGTGGTGGCACCGAGGCCGAGGGGGCAGTCACAGACGGACCCAGGGCTGTCCTCTCCCCTACAAGGGGGCCTTTGTTCCCTGATGCCGCCCCCGCCAAGCCCACAGGGTTCCTCTGATGCCCACGCCCCTCACACCGGACCCCTGCCCAGCCGTCTGTCCCTCTCTGGACTGGGGCTGCTGGTGATGGCGTTTAAGCCACCGGCATGTGTTTGCCTTGTGCCATTGTCCCCAAGAGCCACAGGAGGCCAGACTGCCTTCCCACGTCCCAGGGAGCCCACCGAGGAGGGTCTGGGTCTTGCTCAGGTGGGGCTGTCGGCAGGCTGGGGCCGCCAGGGACCTTGAGGACCCACATGCAGGGCATGAGGGCGCCGAGGTCCCTCAGCAGGGAGCAGGTCTGTGGGCGGCGCCCCAGATCAGGGGTTGCAGGTGCCTGGAGGGGGTGGCAGGCAGCAGCATGAGGACCCCCAGGCCTGAGCTCCCTCGTTGACCTGAGGCCAAGGGGACACCGCCTCCAGGAAGCCTCCCTGGCCCCAGGTGTCGGGCACCTTGCCTCTGGGCATTCGCTTTTCCCGGTCACCCCTCTGCCTCTGCTCCTGAGCTCAGTGTGCGTCCTGTTTCGTGTCCCGTGCAGGGCTCACTGGGCGGAAAGGCTGACCCACACCTCAACTCTCTCATAGGGCCTTCCGGTCTGGCGCCTCAGATTCCAGGCCCAAATCCCTCCAAGGCCCTGAGGCCGCCCCCAGCCTGGCCTCCCTGCAGTCGGCAGCCGGCCTCCCCACCAGTGAGCGAAGGGGCTCAGAGCTGCCTGGGCCAGGCTGGGCCCCTGACCGAGGGCACTGACCAGGCTGTGCCACCAGGCACCAGGTGGGTCCCCAGGGGGCATGTCATTTTTGTGCACCGTCCAGCCCTCCCCGCCCCCCAAGTTTCTGCCCCACGTTTCCTCCCTCTGTGTGCACACCGCCCAGGCCCAGGTCAGCCAGACTCAGCTTTCTAGTGAGTGTTTTTGAAAACACTTTTGTCTGTCTAATTGTCCTGTTTTGACTGATAGTAAAGGAGTCGGTGTTTGGTGAGTGACAGCTGGGGCGTGGGGAGGGAGCCAGGGGAGGCTGGGCCGGAGCCAGGGGCCTTGTGCGCTCTGGGCGGGAGGGGGAGCGGGGAACCTGAGGCCCCCCCTCAGGGCCACACCCCTTTCTCGAGGACCCAGGCCAAGGTTTGCCTGGGATCACTCGGGGTGGGTCTCTTTGCCCTTCCAGGTCTGTGCCAGGGTGTGACGTGGACGGGCCGTCCATCCCGCTGACCGCCAGTCCTGACTGGTGGCCGGGTGAGTGGGGGTCGCTCAGCCGGGCCGCCTTCCCCCGTCATCGGGGGCCTCCGCCCTGGGGACGCGGGGCTGGGATTGTGGGGCTGTGGGAAGATGTGACCGGGCCCAGCTTGCCGCGTGACACCCAAGCCCCGGTGTCTGTCTCCGAGCTCTCCTTTCTCCTTGCCGGCGTTGTCACGGCGAGGGCGTGTCTGAGCGTGAGTGTGCCGTGCGGGCTGGCCAGGTGCCCTGTCCGTGCCGCCCTCAGGGCCTCCGTCTAGACTGTCCCGACCGGGGCATCCGGGCGTGTGCTGAGTTGAATGCCTGTAGGGTTTAGTGGTGGGGGAAACGCCTCCTGGTTCTGGCCCAGCAGGTTCTCCCGGGCCCTGAGCAGGGCCAGCAGGTGTGAGCCCAACCCTGGCCCCGGCCCCTTGTCGTCCCGTCTTGTGGATGAGCCAAGGGCTCCTGAGTGTGCGTGGGTGGCAGGGGCAGATGGGCAGGGCTGGGCCTCCTCTGCGCAGTGACCCCCATGCCGGCCCCCAGGGGCCTGCCTGCTCTGCTCATGTGTCCTGCCTGCTTCCAGGGTCCCTGGAGGGCAGAGGTAGCAGTGTCCCTGCTTGGGCCCCGGCCAGGAGCGGCCCGCTGGACAGGACGGAGCCGGGCTTCCCGGCGGACCCTGAGCCCGGCTCCCAGGAGCTCCCAGACAGCGCCCCGGAGACGTGGGGCTGGGAGGCGGGCTGCGCCAGCCTGGCCCTGCGGGACGAGGCGGACAGCATCTTCCCTGACTTCCTGGCCTACTAGGCAGCCAGCACGGGGCCTCGGGAGCAACACGTGCAGGCGGGGACGCCTTGCTCTGGGTTTGGGCTGCTCTGTGCTCTAATTCAGTGAAGCGGAACATTAAAGGGAAGGACCGCTCTCTGGAGGAGGCACACGTCGCTGGTGTGATTAACGCGATTCGCTGCGCAGGTGGCTTCGCTTCCGCTCAGAGCACAGGCTCTGCCTGGGCTTTTGTTTCTCCGCCGCCTTGGCCTCGTGGAACCCAGAATAACCGGGCCCTGCAGCTCAGGGTTGGGGCCCATGGACCAAGCATTCTGTGTCCCTGCCCGCTGCCCAGAGAGGTGGGCGTGGGACCCCTTCCTCTGCCCTTGAGGCTGGTCTGGGGTCCCCGGAGGGTCCATCAGGGTGGCCCTGGTTTGCCAGCCTGGGTGACCAAGAAGAGGGCCTTCTTACCCCAGGGTGTGCCAGGGGGCCTGGGGCAGAGGCCGCCTGGCTTCAGTTTTGAAGCCTCACCTCCCCGGTGGGCACAGCTTCAGTCCCAGCTGCTTCTGACCCCCAGGGTTGGGGGAGGGGACGGGTTCCTGAGAGGATGGTCCCAGCCTGTGTCTGGCCAGACCCACTCTGTTCCCATGTCCCCCTGCCTCCTGGCCACAGTGAGACCGTCTCCAGTCTCCCAACACAGGCCAGTCCGGGCACGCCCTGCTCTTCCCCACGTGGAGATGGGGGGCTCCGGGACCGCCGGCCAGTCAGTGCTCCCGGCCAGGGGGCCTCTCCCCCTGAGGAGGATGCCCTGAGGACCCCCCTCCTGGGCCGCCCGCCCCCGCCTGCGCGCCCTCCACCTTCAGAGCCGAAGGTCCCGTTGCCCCAGTGCGTCAGTCAGAGGTGAGCAGCGGCTGGCGCGGGAGGCAGTGCCGCCGAGACCGGCCTCAGGAACCCCGCCCTGGGGACAGCCGCGGGGGCTCGCTGGGTGCCGGCGGTGGCTGTCGTCCCCAGACCCCCGCCTGCGGAGCCCCGCACCCAGTGGGCTTCCTGAAGACGCCTGGGCGGAGCCGTGGCCGGTGGGCAGCAGCCCCATGTGTGGCGCGGCCTCCGCAGGCCCGGCTGCCGGTGTCCCGAGCGTTCTGGGCCCTGGAGCCCGAGGGGCCGGGCTGCTCCGTGGTCGGGCCACCCTGTCCCAGCCCTTCCGGGCCCGTCACTCCTGCAGCCTGATCCGAGGAGTGCGCCGTGAAAGACCGTGTGCGTGTGCGCCTAACGTGTGCTCCTGTGGGCTCATTCACGTGTGTCGGGTATACGCCAGTGCCTTCCCTCAGCGGGTGGGGCGCCGCAGGTCCCCTGACTCGGGCCCAGCATGCGGTGTGGGTGACCCTGCCGGCCAGCGCTGCAGCAGGCAAAGCCGCCCGGCCCCGGGCTCTGTGCCGTGAGCTCAGGCTCCGTGAAGCAGGAGGGGACCCAGGCAGTCAACTGAGCTGTCTGGGCCCTGCCCACGTGGGGTCGGGTATAGGGCCGTGACATCAAAGCCCCTGGTGTCCCTGCCCAAGAGACCCTGGCAGAGCCCTGCCCTGCGCCCTGGGGGCGTGCCGTGCCCCCCGCCTGCTGACCTCGCCCCAGCACCCACTGGGGAAGGTCAGGAAGCCATGGCTTCAGCTCAGAGCCCTGCCTGAGGCCCCAAGGAGACAGATGGGACACCTCTCTGGCTCCCCATGGACGGGGAGAAACGAGCCCCCACCTCACGTGGCAGGCAGCACTCGCCTGTGCTGCCTCTGCTTGCAGGGGGTGGGAGGATGTCAGAGGACCCTGAGGCCCAGGCGGGAGTGGCGCTGTCTGTCCCCAGAGCTGTAGGGCCACCTGGGTCCCGGGCTTGGCATCCTTCCAGGGTGTTGACAGTGGGGCAGGGGGGAGTGGTGGCCACTTTTCTGGAGCCGGAGCCCCCAGGTGGGCTGTGGGGGCGGGGTGCTCAGCTGTGCTGGGCAGGAGCTGAACGGAGCCTTGGGGAGCGGCACAGCTCTCCTCCCACCCCTACCTCTCCTGGGGCCCTTTGTGAACCAAATTGCAGCTCTCAGGCTGCAGTTGCCTGTTCAGTGCTCAGGGGTGGGTTTAGGCAGCCTCTGGCGGCGGTGGCTGGCCTATTTTGGGAGTCCAGTTGGAGTGGGGGCCTCGGCACTGCCCTCCAGCTTCTGGGTGACCTGCTCCCCTGCCTTCTGCCCCACCGGGAAGGCCTGGTTGCCTAGACGCAGGACATGGGGATACAGGGCCCAGGAGGACCCCAGGCACTGTCAGGCCACACGCTCTTGAGGTTCAGCCACCCCTCAACTGGGACACCGGTGGGACAGTGTCTTTGGCTGGGCCTTGGTGAAAGCCATGGCTCGGAGCTGACCAGCTGCCCCGTCTGCCACCCTCTGTCCCGCCGGCCATGTCCTCCTGCCCTCCTCACTGCTCACCTTGCTCCTGGAGTCACCACGCGGTGTTGGAGGCTCCCCCCCACTCCCTCGGCCGCCCTCTGACCACCGAGGCCGCACCCTGGACCCCGCAGCTGAGAGCCCTTCCCCCTCCCAGCTGGAGGTGAGGTTCTGGGGGGAGGACGGGGACACGCCACTTTTTGCAGGAAGCGGGTTTTGCAGGCGTGATCAAGGGGTGGGTCTGGGATGAGGAGTTCATCCTAGACTCGGGGCGGATGGTGTAAGTTTAACGACAGTGTCCCTCGCCCTTGAGGATTTTCACGTCACTGGAGGCCAGAGAAATCCCGGACCCACAGCCCTGGGCCTGCAGCGGGGGTTGGTGCGATGGAGCAGGCGACAGGCTTGTCCTGTGCCCGCTGCCCGCTCCCCAGCCACTGTCCCCTCCCACTCCTAACAGCCTCAGCTGGCTACCAAAGTGCCCTTGAATTGGGGTCCTGGGGACCGGTGGGCAGGGCCGGGGCCACCAAGCAGCAGGTGCGTGGTGCCGCTGGAGCGGCTGAGGGATGACCGGTGGCACCTCAGACGGGTCCAGAGTCTGTGGGGGTCGCCTCTCGTCCCCTGCCAGGAGCAGGTTCCTGGCCACACACCAGGTGCCCCGTCTGCCCTGCCGGTGACGGGGACGTGGCTGCGTCCTGAGTTCCCCGTGCAGCACGGAAACCCCCCGGGCCAGGTGGCGCGTCCTCAGGCTCTCACCGGGGACGTGGTGGTGACCCACCCTCCTGCCGTCAGACTCCTCGCGGGTGCCACGTGGGGCACCAGCTCCCACTCCCACGGCAGCCGCCCGCACCCCGCCCCGCGCCCTGACTGCGGGGCTCGTGTCCACGTCTCCTGTCACGCCCTTGCCTTCAACCTACCGTCTGCGCCCATCTCAGTGGCCCCCTGAGAGGGACAGTCACAGGAAAGACACCCTACAAGGCCCACTCCCCCGTGAGTATCGGGCCCAGAAGCCCAGAGAAACAGGGTGAAACAAAGCCAGCCATCGGGGAAGGATGACACGTTACAACCAGGCGGGTTTAACCCAGGAACGCAAGGCAGGCCCCGCCGCTGGGGACCCGTCGAGGCGCTTTATCACACTGCGCGTGGAGGGAGGGTCCCACCGTCGTCCCTGTCGCTGCAGGCGAGGCCTCCGGTACAATTCGACGTCTTGGTCTTGCTCACGATGGAAACTCACACCGCGCAGAAGTGAAGGGGCGCGCTCCCCACCTGGCGGGGGGCTGCCGGGCGCCCAGAGCGACGGTCGCCTTGTGGAGAAGGGTCGCAGCTTCCCTTCTAGGTCCAGACCAAGGTGCCCACCGTCCCCTCTGCCATTGAGGGTGCCACTGGCCCTTCCAGGAAGGGGCGCACAGGGGGTGAGAGGCAGATTTGCAGGGGAAGCGTGAGCCGGAGCTGTTCACAGACGAGGGGCCGTGTATGAAGAAGGCCCGAAGTTGCCCCCAGATACACGATTCGGAGCGCTGAGTTCGCGGGACCCGCACAGATACACACGCTGTTTCTATATATGTGTGAGCGATGCATGATTAGGGAATAAATTCCAGGGGATGTTATTATGTGCAATTCAGTGGGGAAAAAAAGTGAGTACCAGGAATAAACCCATCCGAGCTGCGGGCTTCGGCGGCGACAGCTGCCAGCTGCCCGCTGCCCTTGAGAAAGCACCTCATTTTCCAGCTGCGCACGCGCACTGTGACAGGGTTGGGGGGGCGGCAGTCTTGCCCCCCCCAACCCGTGGTGGTCTCAGTCCTGAGACCCTGCCACCCCAAACCTGGCCTGTCCAGTGGGGCAGGAAGACAAGGATGGCACGTACCCGGACCCTTGACTTCTGCCTGGTGCGGTCTGTGCTGTCGCCGCGTCAGCCAGTGCGAGTCCCCTGGGCAAGGTGCCCCCCCCAGGATGCCTGGGACCAAGAAGTAGAGGCGCTGGGGGTGGGCCGCTTGCCGTGGAATCCGGGCAGTGGCTCATCTCTTCGAGGTGGGACCAGGGGCCTCGGCGTCCAGGTTTCAGGACGCTTCCTTGTGGAGAGTGTGAACTCAGTCCGGGGCCTTGGGTGGTGTGTGTCAATGGGAAAGGCATTCTTGGGGCCTGCTCTTGCAAGACCCACTGGTGCCTCCAGGACCCTCGCGCTTCCCTGAGATCCTGGCGGAGGTGGGAGGTGGGCGGGTACGCCCCTCTCGGTCACTCCCCACGCACCTGCAGCTGCAGGAGCAAGAGCGGGTGCAGGGCCGAGCAAGGGGCTGCGTGCCGGTTGTGGGAGGAGGCCCTTGCTGGACGCCCCGCTCCAGAACGCAGGCTCTGGCAGGCGAGCGCTGACCCTTCCTGCGGCCTCCGCGGGGCGTGCTCACCGTTTCCGATGGCGCAGACTGAACACTGTCCCCCAGAATTCCTGTCTACTCCGAGCCTCCCGGTGTGACCTTATTTGGAATAAGGGCTTTGCAGAGGTAGTGAAGGGAAGATGAGGTCGTGCTGGCCTAGGGTGGGCCCTGCCCTGACTCCAATGACGGACGTGCTCGCGGGATCGCGGAGACACAGAGACGCAGGACGATGGAGGCAGCGACGTGGTCCTGGCTGAGCGCT